AATTCCAGGCTGCCTTTGCGGTTGGCGCGTCCGTCCGCGGGAATCGCGGCAGTGGGCAGTGGGCAGTGGTGGTGCAGTCCCTGCTGCCATGTGTCACAGTGAGGTGCAGCCACTCTCTGTCCACCTGGAAGTCTCTGCTGTGAGACCTGTCACCCCCCTAGGGAGCTCTGGGACATGTCCTGGGAGTGATCCTTCTCTTTCGTGTGAGTTGTGTGTTTTTCCAGGTGTGCTCCGTGCTCCCGTTTTGCTCCATTTGCTAGCCAAGTCCTGTCCCAGAGCAGCTCCATTCCTTACGGGGCTGCTCCCGGCAGGACGGGGAGGCTGCAGGAGGCAGAAACCCTCCCGCAGGGTCAGGGCAGTGCTGGCCAGAGCCCAGGATTGCCCTGGAGTCCCTCCTGGCACTGCCAAAGCCAAACACCAGGACTGAACGTCCTGAGAAGCACCAGGTTTGAAACACTCATCACGGACACAGGCCTCAGTGCAGTTTGCTTTATTCTGTGTGCTGTGAGGGAACTGAATTGCTTCTTTATTTTCATCTGTTCTGATTCACTTACTCCAGTAATAATTAGAAGGAAATTAGAGTTACTCTTTGTGTCGGATCAATTATTCATAACACAGATCACTTAAAAAAGAGTTTAGCGGAAGCAACTCACTTCGTTTTTGCTAAAACTGGAGGAGAAATTAGCCAAATTAGTTAAAATAGCTTTGAACTCCATATTGGCTGCGGCGTTTGTGCCAGAACAGAAACTCACGACATGTAAGGATGGCGTAACTGATTAATCACTTCAGCCCGTGGATATCGACATTTCTCTTTAATTACACCCGTGCACAACATAAACTGTCTGAATCCTGGGAATCCAAGCCAGAGAAGCTGCGGAGTCTCCGTGTGTTTAACATCCACCATGTGTTGTTTTCCTGTAGGGTTAGTCTGTAGAATGTAAACCACATACCATTTGTGTGCAGCGCTCGGGCTATTTATAGCAAGCCCTGACCGTTTACAGCGATCCCACCACAGACAAAGCAGCACTGAGCTGCAGGTTGCTCTGTGGAAAACTGCTGGAAGCACTTCCTGCTCCATGGATATTCGCTACCTGGATGGCAGACCAAAGTCACTCTCAAAGAGGAGTAGCAGGGGACCTGTGGTAGGCTCAGTGTGCGCTCAAACAGCAGCAAGTGAGGAAAGCTCAGTCTGAAGGGACGAAAAAAGTGGTTTCTGACAGCCACAAGGTCCAACCCTGGGGCAGCCAAGTGTCCTCACCACCGAGAAGTCACTGGAGCCTCTGGAAAAGGTGACACTGAGTCACCACAACAGTTGTGGGTGTCTGTGCAGTCACTGCAGGCAGCTCGGAGCCCCAGCACCACTGTCCCCACGGGGACACGCTGCGGGCACAGAGCCCCCGGAGCAGGAACGTGTGTCCGTGGAGCAGGAGTTTGACTTTACTGACTGTGCCATGCCTGCTCATGTTTACTCTCTCTTTTCAGAATCCTGGAGGTCTTGGTGAGCTTGAATGAGGGTCAGTCTTTCATGTCCAGCTCGCTAACCATCACTGCTTCAGAGTGTGTAAGTAAAGGGCTACCACAGTCTTGTGTAAAATCCCCAAATCCTGTTTCTCTCTGGGTTTTCCGTTGTGTGGCCTCAGTCGACGATCTCTGTGGCTTTCAGAACCCCGGGAGGCTGCCCTGCCTCAGAGACCCTGCAGACAGGCTGTGTGCTAAGGCCAGGGGGGACAGCACCTGAGACCCATCCCAGCTCCCCTCAGCAGTGTAGGCAGAACCTTGAGACTGCGGCCTGTGTGTGCAAGGGGTTGCAGAACTACAGGAGGGGCCTGACACTGCCCTCTGGTCCCTGAGGAGGAGTGTAGGCCCTTAACTCTTAGTTAGGGAAGACACTGCCCAAGCACAGGCTGAAGGACCTCAGTTACCTCTGGGTAAGGCAGTGTGAACATCCTGCTCAGTCTGACCACACGTTACAGAAAAGACACTAGGCAAACCACACATTGTGCAGCCAGTGACTCTTCTAACTCCATACACAGATCTTTTTCCTCTCACATTTCTCTCTGCTGACTCCTGCATGGCACAGGAGGACAGCCGAGATTCGTGAGGGAGACACAGCCCCGGAGCGAGCTGTGCCTTTAAGTGTGTCTCATCTGAAGCAGCTCTCGTCAGGGTGGAGCACACGGCAGTCCCTTCTGCTCCTCTCCACGCAGAGCTGCAGCAGGAGTTCTGTCGCTCCTCCGTCGGCAACCCCCCAGAGAAACAAGGACTCGTTTCTTCCGGGCGTGTAACACCTCAGCAGCTGCTCAGAGTCTCAGTGTGCCCTCAGCCTGGGCAGGGAGAGCTGCCTGAGCCGAGCTGGAGGGACACTCTCCCCACATCACCTCCTGGTGCTCCTCAGCACCTCAGCCTCAGCCCAGCGCGTTGTGGAGCTGTGGAGCTGCAGGGCTGCCCTGCCTCGCCCTGCCAGCCCCTGCCCTGCCCTGTGAGAGCTGCCAGGGCTGCACTGCGAGCTCAGAGCAGAGCTCTGCTGGGCACAGCCTCCCCTCGAGCCGCTCTGTGGGCACAGGGTGCCCTGGCAGGCAGCAGAGTACAGATGTGCACGGGCAGGAAGAGCTGCTGTGCTGCTCAGCAGCTGTTTTGGTCTCTTTTTGGTTTCTGCTCTTGGCCTGTGTGGCAGCAAAGGCAGCTCCACACAGGAGCTGCTGTTTCCATAGTAGCAGATGGGCAACTCAAGAAATGGGTCACTGAGAGAACTGCTCACTAATTCTGGGAGCTGAGCAGCTGATGGCTGGCTGGGAGATGAGTTCCAAGTCACAGCCTCCCAGCAAACACACGTTGCAGTGCTGAAAGCAAACACAATTGCACTGCACCAGGCCCTGTCACACCTCCTGTGCCGCCCCGCGCAGCCCTCCCCGCACGGACACCGCAACTCCCTGGGCACCTCCTGCCCTTCTTCCCAGCTGAAGGCCAAATAGCCTCTCTCTTCCTAAGGACACTGTTGTGTTTGTGGCCGTGTTGTTCTAACACCACCAGGGTAGCAATGGGTGGGAGGTGTGGGGGCGCAGGGGGAGTTCTCCAAGTGCTGCTGGAAGTAGAAGACCTGCTCAGAGTTTCAGGGCTGAAGAGCACTACTACAGGGAGTTAGGGTGCTGCAGCCTGTGCAGGTGTGTACTGTTAGCAGAGAGGCCTAAAAATCCCTCCCGCCACCACACAGCCCCGTGTCCTCGTGCAGAAGGGCACCTCATCCACAGGCTCAGGAGGAGAGTTCCCCTGTCCATGGGTAAG